TTTTACAGCTGTGACTGTCTTTCAAGTTATCTTGTCATTCTGTGAATATCTTACTGTACATCTTAGCAGGGTCTCCTGCAGCTTGTGACAAGGAACCAAACCCCAGTAACTGCCAGCCTGAAGACCTTGAAGTACTGCATCTATGTACCGTACATGTCATGTGACCCAGACAACCTTTAAAAAAGTCACTAAGTCACACGATTTGATGGGAATCTGTTGCGTCTGCAGCTGTATTCATGGGTCAGTCTGCTGCACGTGTTCCTGCTCGATCATTGCATTTGGCTCATTCTCAGCCTGTTTGTGTGTCGCTGGAATTCCTGCCAGCGCCTAAATGCTTCATCATCCCCAGTTTCTCCTCCAAGGTGGCATCTGTAATTAAAAAAATAATGTTTTCTGACAACATTTTAATTGGCTTGATTTATTTTGTTGATTGATCACAGAGAGAAACAATGGTATTTAAATCAGCAGACATTTCCAGCTGTGTTATAGAGACACCCAGGTGCTCCCATCCTCTCTCTCATTCATTTAAAGACGGCAGTTGAATATAAACGGCTCCTCTTCTAGCCCTGGCAAGTGGCCTATCTCACCCGTGTCTGATTGTCATCTTCGACTAAGACAACAAAATCATGATGGTAGCTGGAGCCTCGGGAGGGACGGAAATCGCCATGGCAACGGCCCTGCTGACCCCACCCACTCCCCGCTCGCTGCTGCTGATTGGCCAGCTCCTGGTGTTCCCAGCATTCTTGTGGTGATGGCTTGTCTCTCAAGGTGACTCTTAATTCACTGTTCTTTAAATATGATCTGAGAAAAGTGGCGTCTGAAGCCAGGGTGCAGAACTGACCGAATCCCAACATCACGGCGGGGGGGCAGTTTGAGCAGGTAGAGCTGTCACGAAGGCTATGGCGTGATTTCCTTTAGTGAGAGTTGTGAATGCGTACATTATAGCTGTCCTGGAAAAGACCAGTCGTAGTGGGATAATAAGCATGACGACTAAAGGCTAATGTGTGTGTGTGTCTGTCTGTGTGTGTGTGAGTGTGTGTCTGTGCGTACATGTCTCTGCATACGTGTGTGTCTGTGTGCGTGTCTGCATGTGTCTGTGTGTGTGTGTGTGTGTGTCTGTGTGTGCGTGTGTGTGTCTGCATGCGTTTCTGCATGTGTTTCTGCATGCGTGTCTGTGTGTGGCCGAGTGTGTTGGATGACCTGGCCCTGAAAAACCACCCCTCTGCGCAGTTGTGCAGGCAGTCATGCAACAAGGGGTCCAGCTCTTCACTGAGTCAGATGCCTGGAAGGGTAGGGTAGCTGCCGAGGTGTACTGAGCCACCTGCCATAGTTCCTCTGCTACCTACCGGAAGCAGAAGCAGAACCTGGGTGGGTGACATCCTGCTGGGTTTGCATATCTGAGTGTCCTTCATGAGGATTCCATCCACCCCCCATGCGTGAGTCCTCCAGGGCCTTCAACATCACAGCTCCTTCACAGAGAACCGTCCTGTCTGCCCCAGCACCTCTTCTGCTCCTGTTCCATGTGCTTCCAGTCTTACTATCCTTCATTTTGAGATGATTATTTTGATCTTGTGTTTTTTAATAGAAGTGAGCCATCATCATGCTGTGCATCTCACATTGTTCAGGACACCAAGAAGCAGGTGACCATCAGCAGTGTTTCTGATCATCAGGGATGAAGAGGTGACTGAGCGGGAGGGCACTTTGACAGTCATCACCAGAACATGTCCTGCATTGTGTTGCTTTTTCCCATAATATGTGTTTGAAGGGATTGAGGAGATCTGGCCACCTTTAGGGTCGACGTGTCTCTGCATTCTCAGCAGGTGGTGGGTCTTGCAGGCTTTGCCAGCCTGGTCCATGTCCGGTGGCTTTGCACACAGCCCCTTACCTTCCATCTCAGGGTCTAACGCTGCTCCACAGGCAGGTCACACAGTGGTCATTGTGAAAGGGCCCTTCGCCCTCATCATGTCCAGCTGCTGAACAGATCTCACACTTCACTTCTGGGACAGAAGCTTTCGGCTGAACTGTGAGAAGTATATCCAGCCACATTAGATTATTAAGACTGGGGGGGTAGATTTTATTTTAGTTATAATTTTGTATTTATAATGCGGAGTGCTAAGCAAAGTACACGCAAATTGATATCGTGTTTAATTTCAAGATAAACTGTTTATTTTTTAAATTGGCATGTATCATTTTTAACCATACCACATTGTTCCCCTGCCTTATGTATTAAACATTTTTGAGCAAACAATGCGATTTGTGCTTTTTTCTAATTGTAATTTTAAGCTGCATGATAAAAATTTTAACTAAAAGATTATGATGATGTTATGTTCCAGAAATTTCATGAACCTTCCAGAACTTTCCAGGCAGTATTGCCTGTTGTGATGCCATCTGTCTGTTATGCGGGAGCTGCCAGTCACTCCTGATCCTGGCTTTGCCTTCATCCTTCATATCCAACTCTAGTTCCTCTTTATATTGATTCATGGCCCAGAAGACACAGATGCAAACTAGCAGTGCTGCAGTTTAGATCCCAACAAAGACAAAGTTACATTGTGCTTCCTGTGTAGTGGAGACTTGGGCTCTGCCTTAAAACCTCAGCTTAGATAATAATTATCCAAAAGGCCTGATGTCGATGTAGTGTCAATTCTACGCTTGCTAGATGTGCAGCTCAGGCAGTTCTACTGTATAGCCTTTGTGCATCACATATCTGTGGCTTGGAGTAATACCATGTAGCCTTTGTGTCGCAGATCTGCGGTTCGAGTAACACCACGTACAGTAGCCTTCGTGTCGCAGATCTGCAGCTCGGAGTAACACGGCGTAGCCTTCGTGCCTCACAGATCAGTGGCTCGGAGTAACACCCTGTAGCCTTCATGTCATAGATCTGCGGCTTGGAGTAACACTGCGTAGCCTTCATGCCTCACAGATCTGTGGCTCGGAGTAACACCATGTAGCCTTTGTGTAGTAGATCTGCGGCTCGGAGTAACACCACGTAGCCTTTGTGCCAACGCCTCAAATTATGTTACAGCAACATTAAAGGCACAGAAAGACACAGTCCCACGCATTGTAAGTCCTACACTGGTTTTTCACACTCTGGAAAGTGTCTTATTATGTCTTTTCATTACCTCTTGCTTGCCAAGTTGAAGTAAAAATGGTTCAGTATGGGTTATGTTCAGCTCACACACAAGCTCTTTAGATAAAGGGCATCATGCTTTATGATTTGATGTCAACATCCGGGTACGGAAACCCCCCAGCTCCATTATGTCAGCTGGTCATGTTACAGCACCTGCCTCCTCCACCACAGATCCACTGCTGAGTCATGTGAAAACTGGAGCAAAATCGATTTCTGCTGCCCCATAACCGTGCTGGGGACGGCAGTGACCCCCTGTGGATGACCAGCAAGACCAAGTCAGGCTTCAGATCATCGCTGGAGATGGCAAGGGCTTCATCTCATCATCAAGCGTCAAAAAAGGATCGGAGTCTTGTATGGTCTTGTATCATTACCCAATAGCTGCTGTATGTGTTTGAAGGCTTCTCAGTCCTGCTGCTGCTGTAACATTGGGTTTCATTTCCGGACAGTATCATCAGATGCTGGAATCAGGATGAAGGTATAAAATGTGCCGGCCTATCTTATAAAGAGGTAGGGAGAAAATATCTGGAACCTGGAGTCCTTCACGCTTTTAAAAAAGTAATTCATCAGCTGTTTGTTAGCCTGATTGCCTGTCGCACCTACCCATCCAAAGGGGCTACCCTCCGTGATGGGCCGATGAGGTGGGGCTCCGAACCCTCCGTGACAGGCAGGTATGACAGAGGCAGGCAGGTAACCCCAGACTGCTATATGTGATGCAAAGAAATCCCCTTTTACCTCTTTGCTCCAATACGTCTGCATATTCAAAAAAGGCTGACTAAAACATCCACACACTCAGATTTTTTTTATGCTTTTTCCATGCCTACAGAAGGAAACACAATAATTTGAGAAATAAAACATCATCCACAGATCCTTGTCGCATGTCGCAATATTGAGAGACTGTGGGCTTCAGCACCACAAGAAGTCATTTGATAATCCTGTTATTACAGTTTGTGGAGCTACAGCATCCCTGCCATGGGTTCGACTGGCCACCCTAGAACACTGGACAGAAAAGCCACTGGGTCCCAAGTACTAGCAGTGAGGATCAAAATGAAGCTGGCAGGCATCCAGCATCTCAACACGGTGCCACAGCTCCAGGTCCACATGTGGTACTGAAGGAGGTTTGACCCAGTGTCCATGTGCAGTACAGAAGGTGGTCTGACCCAGCTCCATGTCCACACGGAGTACGGAAGGAAGTCTGACCCAGCTCTGGGTCCACGTGTGGTGTGGAGGGAGGTCTGACCCAGCTCCGGGTCCACGTGTGGTGTGGAGGGAGGTCTGACCCAGCTCCGAGTCCACGCGCAGTGTGGAGGGAGGTCTGACCCAGCTCCGGGTCCACGCGCAGTGCGGAGGGAGGTCTGACCAAGCTCCGGGTCCACTCGTGGTACAAAAGGAGGTCTGACCCAGCTCCGGGTCCACTCGTGGTACAAAAGGAGGTCTGAGCCTGCTCCGGGTCCACGCGCAGTGCGGAGGGAGGTCTGACCCAGCTCCGGGTCCACTAGTGGTACTAAAGGAGGTCTGACCCAGCTCAGGGTCCACGCGCAGTGCGGAGGGAGGTCTGACCGAGCTTTGCGTTGTTAAGATTGTATTAGCAACACTATCATTCTGCTTTGTAGGCAGCTTGGCGTGTCCGATATTTTGAGTGGTGCTGTATTTTTAATAATGAGAGCTCTGTAACATAAAATGTAACATGAAATTTTCCAGAACTATTTCCTGTTGTATGTGATCTATGCATGTTGGCTGTATGTGATAGGATATGCAAAAACCAAAGAATACTTATATTAATGTCAAAATACATTTCATTCATTTATACAATGAATGGGAGTGTGAATGTTGTGTCCTTTTGAGAGAGTTGCTTAAAGAAGTCACGAGTCATTCATTCATTCATTGAATTATCCATTTATTAACCAATTCAACTATTTATGCACTTCTCAAACTGAACATGGTGATAAAATAGGCAGCTCTGCCAATGACAGATTCATAATCCACAACTCTAACTGCAGGATGATTCATGAAAACATGCCTGTTATACCAGCCCTGACCACACTGGAGGACTGGCACTCTAACATAGTTCTGATGTCATATATTGGCTAAGCTCCCTGCTGCAGTGCCTGGCCAGCCAAGTCCATAGTTGCTTAGTAGCCCGCTGCCTCCCCCAGCTTGCGGGAGTCTGACACGGCCTCGATGCAGGGCCCCACCTTGGAAATGGCGTTGACCACGTTGTAGAAGTAGCTCTGGTTCCCAACTGTGTGTCCCAAGGCCTCCAAAGCCTTTGACACGTTCTGGAAACAAGTTTGCTGGGTGTATGTATGTGTGTATATTACATATCACTTATGCATTTTACACACACACACATATATACAGTGGTACCTCATAACTCGAACTTAATCCGTTCAGAATCCTAAAAAGTTCATATTACACCTAAATATGTTTTTTTTAGCATTTAAACACAAAATGAACCGGATAAAACAAGAAGAGCATATGCTGTACTAAACACATCTAAGCACGTTTAAACAGTAATAAATGAAGTAGCGTAATAAATGTATCCAAACAATGTGTCCTGCCCCGATCGTCCGCTCCTTCCGTGTGCCACGCCCCCTCGTTAACCCCGTGTGGAATCCCCGTGTGATCAGCTGTTTCATGTTGTTTTCATTAGTCCTCTGTATTTCATCCGCGTTTCAGTTTGTTTCCCCAGTCCGGTCATTGTATTGTCCGTCTGCGTTTTGCCTGACTTACCTGTAATTAAACCCCGTATTGAGGGATTCAGATCGAGCTCTAGGTGATTTTTTTTTCGAACTGGTTGGTTCGACTTTTAAGAAATTCGAGTTCTAATGAGTTGGAGAACTGAGGTACCACTGTATATATATCTCGCATTACCCTAATTATTCATAACATAACCTTACCTTGGTGAAGTAATGACTTACCCGTACTTTCTGAATAATGAAATTATATGTGATGTGCCAGCCCACATCCCCGCGGCTGCACACTCCGGTGTGTGATGTGCCGGCCCTCATCCCTGCGGTCATGTGCTCTGGTGTGTGATGTGCAAGCCCGCCTCCCTGCGACCACGTGCCCCGGTGTATGATATGCCAGCCCACATTCCCATGACCGCGTGCCCCAGTGTGATGTGCCAGCCCACATCTCTGTGACTGCATGCTCTGGTGTGTGGTGTGCCAGCCCACATCCCTGCTGCCGTGCACTCAGGAAATCTGTGCATCTTGCATTAGAGGCTGCTCGCAACAACAGACAGATGGGTAAACATCTGCATTTTGTGGCAGTCAAACCGATTCCAGCCAGTTGAGAGGCAATCAGTAATGAACGGCAACATAATCAGGAGAGTAAAAAGCCTTTCCTAAAGGAGTGTAACACCAAACACAGGCAGTCTCAGGGCTAGGTGTGGCCCTGCTGGTCTTTTTCTGTGTTACTGGGTGATGAATGTGGACTGAAATTCAGCCACCATGCAGGACTCACCTGGTCAAATTTGGGTTCGAACTTCACAGTGTTTTTCTGATCCACATACACAATCGGAGTAGAAATGGCATCCTTCAGATTCATCCCAAACCAGAGGTGGTTCATGATGGTCTGGAGATGATGGGAAGGTGCTTGAGTTAATGAGCCTGGAGCATCGTGTGAGTGCTGGGACCTGGTGGCGTGGCAGTGTAGCACGTACCTGATCGGCCATAGCCGTTAAGCCACCCAATTAATTAACGGGGGTGGTGCCTTTATTGTAGGAGTATGATTGGCTGAGGTGCCTACTCACCTGGGCCACACCTGCGAGGATCATGCTGCCTCCAGAAGCACCAATCAGCAGCATCCTGGAGCTGGTCTCAGAGAGGAATATGGCGGGGGTCATGGAGGAGGGGGGGCGCTCCCCTGGGGAGACAGCCAGCAGGAAGCCCCGAGTGGTGAGTGACAAAAGACAAGAGCACCATGAAAATATAGAAACAACGGAGCAGCATGAACCTTAGCAGAGAAAACAAGTTAGAATAATATTGAGACAAAACAATCAAAAATGGAATTGTGATAAGAGTGAGCAGAGTTACACAGCTGGGGCTGATCTCATTACCAGTAGAGATGCTGTCTGCATAGCCACAGAAGTCCCGCAGCTGGTTGTTGAGGATGACTCCGGTCTTTGGGGAGTAGATCTTGGAGCCTAAGCTGTGGCAGGAGAGACAGATATGATAAGAATATCAATAGGACTAACATGAGTCCTGCAGGCGTGGCACACAAGGAGAGCATTCATGTTATAAGGCCACCGCTGGTTATTCCTCAGACGTATCACTACTGTTGATCACTGCAGACATGAGGCCATCTCAAATCATATAACCAACCCACTTGCTTTCTGTGAATCGAGCACAATTTCAGGAGCTCGTCAACACACTCTTGCATGCTCTCATGCCCACACATGGGCACAAATGCTCTCACACGCCAATGCGAGCCCTCACACGCACACACAAGCTCTCACATGCCCTTGCGTGCCCTCACACGCACACACAAGCTCTCACACGCACACACAAGCCATCACACGCATAAACAAGCTCTCACACGGCCACACGTGCCCTCACACGTTGTTGATGGAGCTGGTGACAGACACCGCGGTGCCCTCCTCATCCAGCACCGATAGGTGAGTGGTGCCCACTTGATCCCCGGAAGGCGTGATGTTGTAGTAGCTGAGGTCATAAGTGCGGTTGCTGCTGATCATCAGCCGCACGCGATCTGCTAGCTCTTCTGTCGTCATCTGGAACGCATTCTGCCCATATCACAAGGGGAGGAACATCCCGTCTCAGTCAGTGAAACAAATGTATTAATTAACGTGTCACTTCTGCTCTGAGTTGCACTTAAGCTTAAAAATTATTTGTTTTCATAATGAATTAATAAAAACAGAACATAAGGTACAATTAGGACTAATTTTGTTTAACAAGTTATATCATTTTTGCGACTTCCCAAATGTGAACCAGTGGAGTAAATTCCCAGCAGCACTGCACGGGCCTGTCAAATAGGACGGGCAAGCAGGACTGCACGGGCCTGTCAGAGAGGACGGGCAAGCAGCACTGCACGGGCCTGTCAAAGAGGACGGGCAAGCAGGACTGCACGGGCCTGTCAGAGAGGACGGGNACGGGCCTGTCAGAGAGGACGGGCAAGCAGCACTGCACGGGCCTGTCAAAGAGGACGGGCAAGCAGGACTGCACGGGCCTGTCAGAGAGGACGGGGCAGCAGCACTGCACGGGCCTGTCAGAGACGATGGGGCAGCAGCACTGCACGGGCCTGTCAAAGAGGATGGGGCAGCAGCACTGCACGGGCCTGTCAGAGAGGACGGGGCAGCAGCACTGTACGGGCCTGTCAGAGAGGACGGGGCAGCAGCACTGCGCGGGCCTGTCAGAGAGGACGGGGCAGCAGCACTGCGCGGGCCTGTCAGAGAGGACGGGGCAGCAGCACTGCGCGGGCCTGTCAGAGAGGACGGGGCAGCAGCACGTGCGTACTCCCAGCATCCTAGTTCTTTGTACTTGCGTATACCCTTAAAATGATGTAGAATAACGACCTGTCAGAGAGGATGGGCAGCAGCACTGCACGGGCCTGTCAGAGAGGACGGGCAGCAGCACTGCACGGGCCTGTCAGGGAGGACGAGCAGCAGCACTGCACGGGCCTGTCAGGGAGGACGGGCAGCAGCACTGCACGGGCCTGTCAGGGAGGACGGGCAGCAGCACTGAACGGGCCTGTCAGGGAGGACGGGCAGCAGCACTGCACGGGCCTGTCAGGGAGGACGGGCAGCAGTACTATTATTGAGGGAGCCTGTTCAGCTCCTCCTTTACCACTCAGTATTCCTCCAAATTCAAATAATTACTGATTAACCCAACCAACCAACCAACCAACCAACCAACCAGAGATACTTTAAGCTCACTGACCAATACCCCTCCCCTCAGACACAGACAGACAGAAAGGCAAAAACACACACAGACACACACACACATAGACACACACACACACACACACACATACTCTCACACACAGCAGAATGTTTCAATGTGTGATGAGCTGTCAGAGGATCCTGCTGTACCCCCAGCCTCCGTGTGACAGAGCAGAAGGGGAGGTACAGGAAGAAGGAAGAAAGCAAGTGAAAATTCAGACGCTCAACAACATAGAAAAACATAGAAAGGCCAGGGGTGTGTCTCCACAGGAATTAATTCAGCTTGAAGGGGTGTCACTAAATTTAAATCACTCCTAGACGGGTTTGTGAGAAATTTATGTTATGAACTCCTTTTTTGTCTCATAAATATCCCAATATTTATTACAACAAAATCACCTTATAATATCTGAAAAATTTCCAATACCGTGATGTCATAGTATATTATACAAAATACTTTATTTCTTGTTATGCTATCCTGATCTTGTTGTATCTGTTCTTCCGACCGGATTGCAATTAAAGCTTGTGTCACTTCATTTGTCCACACATCCATTAGTATAAATGTTATTATTGTTTACGTCTGTGACGTAAGAGGTCTAATGGAAAAAGCCCAATACTAACAAGCGGAAAGGAGCCATATTGCCCCCTATTGTTGCGGGGTCGGGCATACTGTACTTCCGTCAGTAAATCGATTCCCCTCTCGTGCATGTATACTGGGACAAGGACAGTAGTCTGATTAAATTCTGTAGTTGAGCTATAACCGGGCACCTCAGGG